AGACACCACTGGACTGAGCTGGAGGGAAGGTATCCTCCGGTGTCTGTAGAATGTCCGGCCCTGATTCAGAACCAGCTCTCCGTCAAGCCCACCGACCACTCTGTTGTCAAGCCCGGCAGCTGCATTCTCAAGCCCGCCGGCCGCTCCGCAGTCAAACCCAGAGAGGGCTCCTGCTCTCACATTCAGCCCAGAGAGGGCTGTGGTTCCCACGTCCAGCCCAGAAAAAGACTCTGTTCCCAAAATAAGCCCAGAGAGGGCTCCTGTTCCCACGCCCAGCCCAGATAGGGCTCTAGTTCCCACGTCTGGCCCAGATAGGGCTCTAGTTCCCACATCTGGCCCAGAGAGGGCCGCTGTTCCCACGTCTGGCCCAGGAAGGACCACAGTTCCCGAGTCAAGCCCAAGGAGGGCCGCTGTTCCCACATTTTCCCCACGGAGGGCCTCAGAACCCGAAAGTTCCCCCAAGGAATTTTTTTTTGGGGGGGCTATAGGGCTCCGGCCGTAGAGGCCAGGCCGAGTGCTGAGGCCAAGGCCACGGAGGCCACTCCGCCATGGCCCCCTGAACTGTCTGCTCCGCCATGGCTCCCTAGTCTGCCTGCCCCGCCATAACCTCCTGCCGTGTCTGCTCCACCATGGCCTCCTGAACTGCCTGTTCCGCCATGGCTCCCTAGTTTGGCTGCTCCGCCATGGCTCCCTAGTCTGCCTGCTCCGCCATGGCTCCCCGAGCTGCCTGCTCCGCCATGGCTCCCTAGTCTGCCTACTCCGCCGTGGCTCCACGAGCTGCCTGCTCCACCATGGGTCCCGGAACAGGTACTGCCCTGGAGGCTGTCCATCCCGTGTAAGCCTGTCCCTAGAGGCCTCCAGAGCCCCCCCCCCGTTGGATGTTATGAGGCGCGTGGACGCACCTTCCGGGAGGGGGAGGTAATGTCACACCCCTGGACTGTCTGTGTTGGGTTTTGCTCCCCATGTTCTCCCCGTGACCCAGTTTTCTCCCATGTTTCCTTGTGTCCATATTTGGTCTTTCCTGTTCCCATTATGTTCATTTGTTTCCAGCTGTGTCCCATTTAGTCCCTCATTTAGTTCATTGGTACTTAAGCCCTGTGTTTCCCAGTGTCGAGCGTCTAGTGTTAAACATCAACCCCATGTGCTACGTGTGTGTTCCTGCCTGTCCTGTGTTTCCCCTGTATGGATTATATTTAAGACTGTCTATTGGAATTCTCCTACGTCTCCGCGCTCCTTCGTCTCCTCGTTCCTAGTCCACAGGCCACAGTAGGCACATCCGTGACAATTACTATTGTTACTGTAATACTTAGGGTTTGAGGTTTGATGTGTAACTGTTTGCGCTACTGATATCAAAGATATTTCAAATCATACAGTTTGCATTGGATTTCTTTTCAGCAGGGGGATGGTAGAACAGCTGAAAAAATCCTGTAGACTCACACTGAAATATATATATGCTGAACATGTATAAAATTAATTTTTTTCAGTTCTTGGTAAAATAAAAAGTGCAGTGGGAGTTCAAGGCCATACTCCCAGCAGGAATACAGATGAGAAAAAAAAACTAAGAATCATAGTCCACTGACTCTGGGCAGCTTCTCTCTAAGCAACTGTTGTGGTTACAAAGACAGGTTGGGAATAATCTCTGGGAAAAACAGCTCCTTGCAGATTTTTGTAATCCCAGGCTAAAGCCCCCCGGGGGGATTTATCTAACTCCTCTTTATACCTTACACACAAAGACCCTGCCGTTGAGCTCTTTTACACTCACTTGAGCTTCTGGACTGAGTAAAAAACAATGGTGTGCCCTTTCCTGTAGTTTGGCTTTGGAATTAGCAGGAGATTGCCATTGTGCCTCTTATTGACTGATTCACTGATAATTTACCCAATGCACAAAATATTTTCAGGAAAGGAGAGCCATAATTGGTGCACCATCTGTTTAGTATAGCCTCTGCCACAGAGGCACAAATAGTGCCTCATAACTAAACCTAAACTCAAGTTAAAAACTTCCTGTGAACCTATGCCAAAATGCTATTCGATTGAAATAACTGAATTGTGTTCCTGATATATTACAACGGCAATCATGTTACTATTGACCAATGGAAACAAATAACCAAAATGACTGTTTAGTATAAAAAATATATTAATATATCAGCATGAAATTTCAAATAGAGATTCTGCAACCAACTGAATTTAAGAAATTATTTGGAACAAAACAAAACAAAATATTATTATGCGGTAGGTTAAAATCTAACAGCATAGAGGAAAACACTGTCCTGTACACTGGCAAATAAAGTACACTGAACAAAATTATAAACGCAACACTTTTGTTTTTGCCCCAATTTTTCATGAGCTGAACTCAAAGATCTAAGACTTTTTCTATGTACACAAAAGGACTATTTCTCTCAAATATTGTTCACAAATCTGTCTAAATCTGTGTTAGTGAGCACTTCTCCTTTGCCAAGATAATCCATCCACCTCACAGGTGAGGCATATCAAGATGCTGATTAGACAGAATGATTATTGCACAGGTGTGCCTTAAACTGGCCACAATAAAAGGCCACTCTAAAATATGCAGTTTTATCACACAGCACAATGCCACAGATGTCACAAGTTTTGAGGGAGCGTGCAATTGGCATACTGACTGCAGGAATGTCCACCAGAGCTGTTGCCCGTGAATAGAATGTTAATTTCTCTACCATAAGCCGTCTCCAAAGGCGTTTCAGAGAATTTGGCAGTACATCCAACCGGCCTCACAACCGCAGACCACGTGTAACCACACCAGCCCAGGACCTCCACATCCAGCATCTTCACCTCCAAGATCGTCTGAGACCAGCCACCCGGACAGCTGCTGCAACAATCGGTTTGCATAACCAAAGAATTTCTGCACAAACTGTCAGAAACCGTCTCAGGGAAGCTCATCTGCATGCTCATCGTCCTAATCGGGGGTGTTTATAATTTTGTTCAGTGTATGTCTTATCTAAAAAAAAACAAGAAAAAATAAAAAAATAAAAACACAAGACTAAATCATCTGTGGCATCTCTTGTATGATCAATAAAAATGTGAAGCTTGCTATTTACCTTCTTATTAAAAAATCACATTTAACATTACCCATATGCATGAACAGAGCATAATACATAAATTGGTAAAAAAAAAAAAAAAAAAGGAAAATATAATTCATCCATATGTGTAAAAAAGAGTATATCTGTATTTAAATCTATTGTAAAATGAAAAATGAATAAAAATAAAATAAAAGCTCTATATATAAAATTAAATACAAAACAATAATTTCACTGTCAGACACAGTTTTGTGTGTGTTTTTCTCTGTGACCCAGTTTCTGTCTCCCACGTATTCAGTTAATTTCATCCCAGGTGTTTCCCATGTGTAATTTCCAATGATCCCAGGTGTGTCTCCTTAGTCCCTCGCCATCCTGTGTTTAAAAGTCTGAGTGAGTTTAGTTAGTGTTGTTTTCCTCGTTCCGTGCTCCTCACAGTAGCACCCCGTGACATTCACATGGACATGCACACCTTACTGGAAAAACACACAATTTATGGCGGAATATTTTTGGACAATTAGGATAATTTATGTGAATTCTGCTCTCCAAATAAATTTGTCATCACAATCACAATGATAATATAAATCATTTACTGTATATATTTATCCAAATATATTTGAATAATTAGTATAAATGAAATGAATTCTACCCTCCAAATAAATTTGTCATCATATTGTAATAAAATGTGTGAATATACAGTGGGTATAGAAAAGAATCACTCCCCTTTAAAATAATCCTAGGCACTTTCAAAAGATCTCCGGAATAAAGTTATGGACAAGCACAAGTCAGGAGATGGATACAAAAAACGTTCAAAGGCTTTATCAATGCCTAGAAGCACAGTGAAGTCTATTATTAAGAAGTGGAAGGTGTTTGGTACAACACGGACTCTCCCCGGATCAGGACGTCTCTCCAAACGGATGAGAACCAGGAGGAAACTGGTCAGAGAGGTGACCAAGAGGCCTACAGCAACTCTGAAGCAGTTGCAGGAATTTATGACAAAGAGTGGTCATTGTGTGCATGTGACAACAATATCACAAATTCTCCACAAGTGTGGCTTGTATGGGAGGGTTGCAAGGAAAAAGCCACTCCTCAAGAAAGGCCACAAGTCACGACTGAGCTTTGCCAAAACACACCTTGAAGATTCTGAGGCAGATGCAAAATGTGATTATTTTAAAGGGGGTGATTTTTTTCTATACCCACTGTGTGTGTGTAGGCTGTTCAATGGTGGTTTCCATTGTGATAACATGCCCCACTATTGATGTAAACGTGTTGAGTGAACTGTATCTTTTATATAATATCCAATAATAGTGTAAATATGCAATAATGTTGTAGTCAAGACTGTCTATACATAAATTGACTTTCAAAAATAAACCTACCTTGAGAAATGTTCACTGACGTAAAAATTGTGACAACTAGCCCGTTTCCCCTGGAAAAAATAGCAACAAAAAACATTAGGCCTAGATGATGGTCTAGGATCACACTTATAACACTATGTTTAATCTTTATATTGAGTGTCATTATTTACATTGTTTAAGAAATGAGTAAATTAAATATTCTCTGATTCCCTAATGAAAATTTACCATGGTTTTACTACAAATGTAAACATGCTTACTATAGTTAAACAACAGTAAACACAAATTAACCATGGTAGGTGTAGTAAAACTGTGGTTATACAAATGGTAATCAACATGGTTACTACACTTTTACTACAATAAAACCACGGTTAATTTTCGTAAAGGTTACATTTCATTTATCACAGACTCCATCACAAAGCTAACATCATTTGCAGCTTCCTGGCCTTTTCCACGCTTGTTTTTGTTTTTTAAACGTAGGCCTATGTTAATTGTTAATTATTTCAGCCAAGCCAATTTTGAGAAGCATGCCGAAGCTGCAATACTGCATGTCACCTTGAGGCAGAGCCTGTCCCTTTAGTCTCATCTGTGTGGGCAAAGGCGTGAACGCGCACTCCTCTGGCAGGAGCGACAGTCGCGCGCTCCCGTGCGTTCGCAATAGAAAACAAAGCTATCCGTGCGCTTCCATTACAGCTAGCGGGGCAAACCCAAGCACACAGCTCTCACTGCATGCACACCCAAGATGGGTTTGCAGCTCATCTGAGGGCCTTTGAAAGCGGGGACTGTTGTGAGGACAGCCAGCCAGCTGAAGTCAGCGAAACGTTTCGGGGTTTTTCCCCGGACTGCTTTTGTTTCTTAGCCGCGGCTAGCAGCACAGCCACAATCATTGTCATTTCTGCTGCGAGCTGCTGAAGGAAAACATATCGCCATGTTGTTGTCGGAGGGGCTCAGTGAATAAGGCGAAACCGTGAGCGTGTGGAGGTGATAATCTCGTCGTTAGAGCCGAACCCGAGTCCTCAGCCGCTGCCTGCCTGACTGACTGACCGACATGGCGGAGCAGAGCTACTCCTGGTGAGTGCCAGCAGCAAATATAACCATTCAGACACAAAACACCGACGCTCAGTGCGCTTTGACGCACATATTGCCACTGTCAGCGTCTAAAATGTGTGATTTCTACCTCAGTTTCGCCGTTAATACGGCACCATTGCGCTCCGGTGGAGGGTTGAGGCGTATTTTGGGTCTAATGTAGCCCATTAGCTCTCATATATACGGGTTTGGTGTTTTAATCTCAACCGCCGTCAAACCAGCCACTCGTTTAATCCATTTTACCTCACAAATAATTTATTTACAATCCTTCTGCTGTTAATAACGCATATTTACCGTCGTGTGTATGTGTTTGTTTGTAATACGGTTGATTCAGTAGTGACACAAAGGGAAATGCCGTGCGCTAACGTGCTAACACTACCAGTGCATTCTGAAACATTATTAAATCAATATAATTTAATTGATTTTATCATTATTTCGTCGTTTCTCGTCAGAAGCAGTGTTGCAGTAGCCGGTAATCGTAGATTGGGTCGTGCTTGCGGTGCTTTAGCTCATTAGCTGCTCTAATCCAGTCTTCACGGAAGAGCGCTGTGTATATGCAAGACACGGGCTGTGTTTCAAAAGCCTAGGGAGCTGACTACCCAGATAACCAGTTTTGGCGTCGTATGATTCCAAATATGATGCGGATGTGATGCTCTAACGCTCTCTAGGTAGGCGGCTCACTAGGTTTTGAGACGCAGGTTGTGGTGTGCAAACATAATATTCATGGTGAGGCTGTGATTTCCATATTTTAGGTTGATATGAATGACAGCATATGCCTCAATCTTCAACTGTGTCGGGCTTTTAGTGATATAGCTGGAGATAAGTTGCATAAATATTGGATTGTATGAAATGTCTTAGACCACCAAGTTGATGACCACCAAGTTTCGGGCCTATATTGAGAGATTATCAAAATATAATGACGTTTTTATAATTTGTCTTGTGTATAATGTCTGTAATATTTAAAACTCAAAATAATTAATATTCTAAACATTTTTTAATTGTATGTAATATACTTTATATGTAATATAATATTTAATGTTTTTAGTACATTTATATATTTGTTTAAATTATATTTAAACAAGTAAATTATATTATAATCAGATTACTTAAAGTATTTTATACTTAAAATATTACTATTTAACATGCACACATATTAGATTAAATCATGCTTTTACAATATTATTCTATATATTACAATATTACAATTGTTATGCAGTATCATTTATTTGTTTTATATATGTATTACTATTTAACATGAATATACACACACACACACACACACATATATATAATTGATTTTATCATTATTTCGTCGTTTCTCGTCAGAAGCAGTGTTGCAGTAGCCGGTAATCGTAGATTGGGTCGTGCTTGCGGTGCTTTAGCTCATTAGCTGCTCTAATCCAGTCTTCACGGAAGAGCGCTGTGTATATGCAAGACACGGGCTGTGTTTCAAAAGCCTAGGGAGCTGACTACCCAGATAACCAGTTTTGGCGTCGTATGATTCCAAATATGATGCGGATGTGATGCTCTAACGCTCTCTAGGTAGGCGGCTCACTAGGTTTTGAGACGCAGGTTGTGGTGTGCAAACATAATATTCATGGTGAGGCTGTGATTTCCATATTTTAGGTTGATATGAATGACAGCATATGCCTCAATCTTCAACTGTGTCGGGCTTTTAGTGATATAGCTGGAGATAAGTTGCATAAATATTGGATTGTATGAAATGTCTTAGACCACCAAGTTGATGACCACCAAGTTTCGGGCCTATATTGAGAGATTATCAAAATATAATGACGTTTTTATAATTTGTCTTGTGTATAATGTCTGTAATATTTAAAACTCAAAATAATTAATATTCTAAACATTTTTTAATTGTATGTAATATACTTTATATGTAATATAATATTTAATGTTTTTAGTACATTTATATATTTGTTTAAATTATATTTAAACAAGTAAATTATATTATAATCAGATTACTTAAAGTATTTTATACTTAAAATATTACTATTTAACATGCACACATATTAGATTAAATCATGCTTTTACAATATTATTCTATATATTACAATATTACAATTGTTATGCAGTATCATTTATTTGTTTTATATATGTATTACTATTTAACATGAATATACACACACACACACACACACATATATA